TTTAATTGATCTAAAAAAAGTGGTTGGGCTAGGGTTGTGGCTCAGTGGTACAGCACTCACCTAGCAAGGTCCTGGGTTCAATCCTTAGCACCACATAAAAATAAATAAATAAAATAAAGGTATTGTGTCCAACAACAACTTTATAGACACACACACACACACACACACACACACACACACACATGCACACACACACAGTGGTCCCTTCCAAATGTCTCTGGCAGACTGATATCTTTCTAGGCTCAGTAAGCAGAACTGATGGGACCATATGAGTAAAATTAGTCTCACCATAAATGAGTAACAATTAGGAAGAGCTTGCTGCTAAAGAATAGGCTCTTTCTAATGGGACATTTTCAGCCTATAACTGTTCTAACGCTTACTGTTAAGCACAGAAAACTATCTTAGCCTTGGAAGGGACTGCTCAGGGCCAACTACCCTGACATGAGGAAGGTAAGGCATTTCCATTTTATAAACAATGACAGAACCTAATTTAAGCCCCACTATGGGAAAGGTATCACAATAAGTGCCTCATGTATATTGACTCAGTTCCTTACAACAACCTTAATGGAGAGATACTCTAATCTCCATTTTTGAGATGGGTAAACCTGAAAGGTTGACTAACTTGTACAAAGTCACCCAGTTAGTTGATGATGGAGTCAAGCATTTGAAATCAAATCCCTATGGTTCCAGACCTCTGCCCTACACTCTCTCTCTAAAGCACCTGAGGCTCAGTAATTGTCTCAGTGACAGAGTTGGTAAGTCATAAAATGGGGAAGAAGTGACTGCAGGAAGAGTGAATCTTTGACCCTCCCATGCAAAGTGACTCCAACCCAGTGTGGGTGGTGATCTTTTTGTGGGTCAGGAAATAAATTTAATGGGTCAGAAACAACATTCAAAAGAGAAAGAAAGAGGATGGGAGAGAGGAGAGAAAAAAAACAATGGAAGAGATAAAGGGAGGAAGAGAGAAAGGAAAAAAGAAAACAAATCTAACTACATATATAATGCCATAGGTAGTTACAACAGCATTCTTTCATGAAACTTTTGTTCATTATGTATGTGCATGCTGGGTTGTTGTGAAAAATACATGTAACTTACCCTGGGTTGTAGTATAGAAAAGTGATTATATTTCATTCAAATTCAACAGTCATCAGGAAAATAAAAATTAAAGTAATAAGATACCACATTTTTGAGGCAAAAGCATAAAAACAACAAAAATGCCTATTAATAGAGTGTTTAACAGATTATTATATATCCATATATACCTAATAAACAATGGCTTAGGTCTATACATATTAAGCTAGATGAATTTTCCATGATTAGGAAAAGCACACTACAGATAAATGTATGTGGTATGATACATTTTTGTGCAAAAAAAAAAAAGATGAAATCTCAGAGGTGAATTGGATAGTGGATTGGGTGGAATGAAAGAAGAGAGAAGTAGAAAGCAAATCAAGGAACAACAAAGGTTTTTGCTAACTAGTGAAAATAAGTACATGTATCATTGAGGGTCCCAAGGGAAATAGAGGACAACACACAAACAGCGTAAATAGACAAGCTTAATAAATAAAGTGACTACAGTCATCATTCAGTATCTGAGGGGGATTTGTTACCAGACTTCCCACAGATACCAAAATCCACTGACAGCTCAAGTCTCTTACATAAAATGACACAGTATTTGTATCAGATCTTTGCACATCTTCCCACACACTTTAAATCATCTCTGGATGATTTATAGTGGTTAACACAATGTAAATGCTGTGTAAATAGTTGTTGTACTGTATTGTTTAGGGAATAATGACAAGGAAACAAGCCTGCATGAGTTCAGCACAAGCACAGTTTTTGGTTTTTTTTTTCTTGAATATTTTCTATCCATGGTTGGTTGAATCCATGAATGCAGAACTTGTGGATACAGAGGGCTGGCAATACTTTACAAAGTTGTGGGAAGTGTTTAGGAAAATCAACAGAGGATTCTCCAGTCCCCAAGAGTTGTAACAGCAGGGAGCTATTACAACTACCTGGGTCTAAAGGGGTACATAATGTTGGAACCTGGAGTGACAGCTATATGGACAGAATCTCCACACAGAATCTATGAATCTTGGTAGGTGGAGGATATAACTGGCAGGAAGGGAAATTATTTCTCTCTCTTCCCATCTTCAACTTTTCTGCTGGTGCATCCCATTGGCCAATCCAACTAGATGCCTGAAAGCTAGGGAATGCACTAATGTGGTCCACAATGGTCAGGCCCAGGACTGATTTGGGCAGGCTCAGAAAAGGGTAGAGTGACCTAGACATGGTACTAATAGAATAAATGGATAACAACCAACACAGAATACTAGGACGTTAAATGAAAAGGTAGAACATCAACTGAATTCAACATTTTTATATATAAAATTTTTATTTCATAATTTTATACATAAAAATTTACTTTATAATTTTACATAATTTGTTCATATTTTAGTATTTTATATATACAAATAAAACAAATTCTATGTCTAAACATTTTTATATATAAAATTAAATACTCACATGGATAAGGTTTAAAAGATTACCAGGGAAAATGACAGTATTAATTTGCTTTTGTGGTAATATTTTGGATATGGGTTCATTGAATCCAGTATCTTCAATAATAATTTAAAAGATATTTTTCTTCTTCTACTACTTTGTTTTTTGGTGATGGGGATTGAACCCAGGGCTTTATGCATTCTGAGTACACACTCTACCACTGAACTATACCCCCAGTCAATGTTTTTCTTTTATTGTTGGCAATAGACTAGACCTGAATTAAGAATCTGACTCTACCATATACTTGTTCTTTTTCTAACTTCCTCATCTCTACAATGGGAATAATAAAAGTACCTACCTTATAGGGTTTCTATGAGGGTTAAATAAGCAAAGAGTTTTTGAGATCTTAGGTCAATGGTTGGCACACAGTAAATGCTGTGTTTGCTGTTACAATGGTGACATCAAAAGCCTCCTAATGGGTTCCCTGATGACAGAATAGCCAAAAAATCTCACAATGGATCTGCCTGTCTTTACCTGTTTTCTCCAGTCTACCCACCACCTTGCCAGAGCAAGCTCCCTGTGAAGGGCACACCTGATCATGTCACTTTCTTTCTTAAAATTTGCCAATAATATATATATATATATAATTTATTTATTTATTTATTTATTTATTTAGTTAGTTAGTTAGTTAAGCACTGGGGATGTAGCTCAGTGGTAGAGCTCTTGCCTTGCATGCACAAGGCCCTGGGTTTGATTCCCAACACTGCAAAAATAAATAAGTGATTTATTTTAAAAAATGTTTAAGGACTTGGAAATGCTAACTGCCCTGTCATTATATATTATATACATGTATCAAATTAATACAATGTACCCCATAAATATGTATCATTTTAAAATAATTAATTTAAAAATTAAAATGAAAAAATACATATTTGTTAGTGGTCTCCAGATAATATTCAGGACAACATTCAAACCTCACCCATTTGTAGGCAACTCCAGTCATCCTTCACTCCTCCCTATGTGCCTTCACTCCAGTCACACCAATTCCTCCTGGCTCTTTTCAAGTATCAGTCTGCCCCATGTCCCAGAAAGCTCTGTTGAGAATGCCTTTTCCATATCACATCACTTTCCTACCTTGCTACTGTTACTACTCATCACTGAACTGTCAAGCATTACCTCCCCAAGAATACTTCCTGTCCACTAGCCTGATTTAGAAGCAGCTTCTTGGGCTGGGGATGTAGATCAATGGCAGAGCGGTTGCCAAGCATGCACAAGGCCCAGGGTTCCAACTCCCCACCCCCAGCAACACACATGTGCACACATGCACGCACACAGCTATATCAATCCATATTCCAAATCATGAGTGTACTGATTCCTCATCAGCAGTGGGTTCCTCAAGGATAGCAATGATGACCTTTATCTTTGGACACCAGCATAAAGCAGAGAACCTGCTAAGAGTGGACACTTAATTCTGATTTGTCTGAGGATTAAATCTATAAATGAATAAAATAAGTAACTTACCTGATTCGAAGTCACTCAGCTAAGTAAGTGACAGTGACAGAATTCAACTCCAGTTCTGTTCAACTCCAAAGGCCACCACTGTCCCTCAACCATCTGGAAGTTCCAAGGCTGCCCTTGAAACTCCAGAGTAGTTGCATGCCTGAAGGAACTCCCAGGGGCACTAGATCAGCTCAGGCCAGAATGAACTGGTCAGCAGGAATAAATGCCTCCTTTCTGACAGTATCAACCACATGACATTTGCTTTATTAAGGGCCTTTCCCAAGAAAATCAATTTCTGGAGCATGTTAAAATGTAAACAAACCACCACCCACTCACCCACTCCTTAAAGATAATTGGTCCAAAGAGGTCTTAGAGAATTCAGACAATTCCACAATGTTGAGAGCACCATCTGATCACATGAACTTGTTTTCCATTACCAAGCAGTTTTCTACTGAGTTTTTATTTTAAATTTGACCCCGCCATAAAATGTGTACCTCCATCTTCTGTTGTTTCACATGGCAAACCTGTGTGTACAGCCACAGTTATGCTGGGGATTCAAGACAGGCACCATTTGAGATTTGCTCTTGTGGCTTATAATGATGTTACCAGAATCCTCTGATAACAGTGTTTATATCTATTTATAACTGTAAACTATTATCCCTTTTTCTATATAATTGGATGCAACTGAGGTTAAAAAATTCAGCTGCATAAAAAAGTCATGCTCTTAGAGAACAGATGTTTGCTCAGCATGGAAAGTGAATTAGCCTTTAACATAAATACCAAGAAACACATAAACACTCTTTCCAAAAGCACTGATGTTGATATTTTACATTGAAAAATAATTTAAAGATACAGGATGTTAAAAATGCAAGATAGCGCCTATTAATAAATATTATTTGAGTTGTTTCTAATTTTGGCTATTATGAATAAAACTGCTATGAATTAAAAAAATGCAAAGGAGGTATCCACAGCTGGTTTTAAAAACAGGTGCTATTTACCTCTTTAAGGTACGATGGGGCTGACAATTCAGGCATTGGATTCATTCTCCAGTTCAGGGCAGAGAAAAATGACTCATAATTTATTTGATGTTCACTATCTTCAAACCTGCAAATAAATGACTTGACTTAGTCTGCAGAATTCAGGATTCAAATGCCAGTTTACATTCTCATGTATATTTCAATATCTGATATTTTTTCTTATTTTTATTAGTTTATTATCTACTCACCATCTTCAAGAATATAAATTCTGTGAGAGCAGGGGTCTTACCTATCTAATTTGCCAAAGTATTCTTAGCACCTAGATCAGTGCGGGTTCTTAGTAGGTATTCAATAAACATGTGCTAGAGTTGTCTAAGAAACAAATTTCCATACTTAGTAACTAAGATCCTCATTATATTTTCTTAAGAATATTTGAAGGCCTTTTTAGTTTAATGGTTGGCATCAAATGCTAGTAAAATAAAATGTCTTTATATTTCTTAATACCTTTTAAATCTTTAAAACAAGCCTAGATTAATTTTGACCACTAGTACATTTTTGGGAAAAATAAAAAAAAATAATATATTTGTTATATAGCCATTAAAAGGGCTTATTTAGATCCATATTTGCTATCACAGAAATATGTTTTGGGTATATTGTTGAACAGAAAGGAAGTTATAAAATGTACGTACAGTTATGATCCTATTTTAAGTTTATATTTATCTTAAAAGGCATAGAAAAAATCTGGTTCTAACAATAGGCTTACATAAGAACAGCTATCTCTGGAAAGAGAAATTATGATTTTGGCTTTTTCTTTACACTTTTATGTATCATGTGAATTGTTTTAAATTTATAATCAGAAAAAGTACATTTTCATTTTGAAAAAATTTAACAAATCATTATGATGCACCATAAATGTCTAGGTTCAAAATAACCAATATTTTTTAGACTACTTGCATGATTTATATATTTTTGTGACAACTATTTCTTAATTATGGACTCTGGCTAAAATTCATCCTTAACTTTGTTTTGGCCATCAAGATACAATAATTTCAATTCAATTGCTATAATGACCTAAACATTGTCTAAATACTTCTTAGTACAATACCTCAATACCACTGATCCTAAACTTGAAAAAATCATGTCAGTTTTAAAAGCCAGTTATCTATTAATCATGTAATACTATTTTTGGAAGTAAATGACAAACATCACTAAGACATTCTTCTAAGCACTCTGTTCCAGGCACCTGCCTTTAAAATAATACTCATAATAAGTCAGATTTTTCTTTGATCTTCAAAACATGGTAAGAAAATAATAGCTCACATTTATAAACTAATAAAAATCAGCACCAACAAATTAATGTTATAGTTTAATATAACATAGACTCATCAAACTAAACAAAGTGGGATAAACAGAGTGATCTGAGGAGGGGAACAGGAATTCTGTAATTCTTTTCTGTACATTTCTTGGCCAAGGCTTCTGGGATACAGCTCCAATTTGCCACCCCCTACCACTCTTTACCCTTTAAATTTTGTCTTACTCATCATTTCAACTCCTTAAAGGACATGCTCTGGTTATGGAAATATTTGTAGCCAAAATGTAGGACCATTATTTCTTTCATTTGTGTATATTTGGGGGGAAGAACTAAAACTCATTCAATTAAAGATATCTTCTGAGAAGCTTTCCTTTAGCAGGGAGCCTTAAAGAAAGCATTTGCTAACACTCTGAGTAGAAGCTGAAGTCAGAGAAGGAGATCATATAGAGCCTTTGACTTTTATTCTGAGGAAAACTAAGAGCCACTGGACCATATTGTACAGAATAGTTAGGGGATCTTCAATGTTCTGAAAGACCATGTCCCCTGGAAACTCATGCTGAAATATAATCACCAATGTGATGATATTAGGAGATAGCATTTGGGGAGAGGTGTTCAGATCATGAGAACAGAGACCTCATGAATGAGGTTAGTGTCCTTACAGAAGAGACCACTGCGAGCTCCTTTGCACTTTTTGCCATGTGAAAACATAGCAAGAAGGAGCCATCTATAAGCTGGGAAGTGGTCCTTCTCTAGATACTTAATGTAAGAGCTCCTTGATCTTGGACTTCCCAGCCTCCTGTACTGTAAAAAAAAATATATTTTTTTTTCTAAGCTACCCAGTTTATGGTATTCTGTTGTATCAGCCTGAACAGACCAAGATAGGACCTAAGACATTTATAAAAGAGGACATTAACTGAAATACTAAGAGTAGAATATAGCGGTCAAGGTGGAAGTGGAAGGACAGCTAGCAGTCTCTTGCAGTAATCCACACAAGGAGTAATGGTAGCTTAGACTGAGGGTGGTGGCAATGAAAAGTGACAAACTCCGAATGTATTTAGAATGTGGAATTCCTATAGTATGTAAGAAAGGAAAAATTCAAGATGACTTCAAGGCTTTTGCTTGAGCAACTGAAAAGATAGAACTACCTTAACTGAGATGAGAAAGACTGCAGGATGTAAACATTGAGAATCAAGACCCCAAGTTCAGTTTGGGCTATGTTACACTTTGATGGGAAGTGAGCAATTTGGGCTATGAGTCTGAAGTTCAAGGAAGAGGTCCATTTCAAGATTTAAGTGTGGAAGTCATTAGCTATATAGATGCTATTTAAAGGCACAAAACTGGGATACTGGGTGAGATCATCAATGAAATAATTGTTTCTATCTGTTTGTATTGTACAGAATTTAATTGTCAGTAAATTCCCACATGAGTTACACAAGGCACTTACACAATCCTAGAGTTTGGAAGTGTACAATTTCAGTAATTGGGAAACCACTCAAAAGACTACCAACTAGAAATAGGATCACATCAGACTTTACTCCTCATATACAATCCAATAAGCAGTTCTGTGGGTTCTACTACCATAAGCATAGTACAGATCTATCTACTTCTTTCCATCTCTTTCACTTCTCCCAAATCCCAAGCCACTATCATCTCTCACCAGGATTTTAGCAACAGTTTACCATCTTGGTCTTGCTATTTCTATCTATATTGCAATAGACTATCCTTCACCAGAGTGATCTTTCTGTAACATAGATTTGCTCGATCACTTTCTTGCTTGAAGTCCTCCAATGACTTCCCAATATACTTAGAACACAAGCTGAACTCTCATCAGGGTTTACAAACTCAACTTAATCTGGCTTCTGCAGACTTCTCTGATCACATGTTCTCACCTGAAAACTCTCTTCTTGTTACAATGTTCTAGGTCTACTGGCCTTCTTCTGGTTCCCTGAACATGCCAAGATTGCTCCTAGAAATGTAAAGCAGTTGTGTCTTCTGGTCCCTTTGTCTGAACTCTCAATTCAAATTACAATTCCTAGCCAAGTGTGGTAGTGCATGCCTGTAATCCCAGTGGCTTGGGAGGCTGAGACAGTAGAATCATGAGTTCAAAGCCAGCCTTAGCAACTTAGCAAGGTCCTGAGCAACCCAGCAAAACCCTGTCTCTAAAATACAAAAAAGGGCTGGGATGTGGCTCAATGGTTAAGTACCCCCGAGTTCAATCCCTGGTACCAAAAATAAAATTATAATTCCTTAGGAAGATCTTCCTGGAGTCCCTCTTATCTGAGTCTCTGTCTGAATTTGCACTTGTCCTGGATGACAGTGCTGGAACTCACAGAAAACTTCTGGAAGTCACCACAGGAAGTCCTATTATTTCTATTATTTTTTACCACTCACTGATATTTGCTCATATTTACCCAGCCCTTTTCCCTGTCTAGCTCATAATGTGTCAGACTCAATATGTCTAACCATTTGCCCATTTGGAAAGGATATTTCTGAATCAGATTACACTTGAGAAGGATCAAAAGCCATAAATAAAAACTGTATGTAGCTCACAAATTATGTATAAATTTTTTTTGACAAGAAATGAAAGATGTCATCTTACCCAAATCCCAGAGCTAGGCTTAAAGAAAGAGTTAGCTAATGTGGTAAAATGCTCCAAGTTTTTCTTTTCAGTTTTGTCTTAGAAGACCTTGATGTATGTGGGAATTTCCCCAAGGGGCAAAGGAGAGAAAAAAACAAAGAATATTTCAATAAAAGGGATGCTTCTTGAAAAAATTCTGTGCTTTTGGGAAGTGGGCAGACTTGCAGTAAATCATAATGGATTGATCGCAAGTATTTTTCTCCCTTTTCCACCAAATCCTACTTTTCACCTGTAAAGGAATAAAAGTGGGGATAAAAAGGAAGAAACACAATGATGAAGATAGCTGGAACAGATAAAAGTGGAAAAGAGATTTCAAAAATTTTTGCAAGATGAGCTGGGTGCAGTGGTACATGCCTATGATCCCAGCTATTTGAAGGCTGAGGCAGGAGGATAACAAATTCAAGGCCAACCTGGGCAACTTAGCAAGCCTCTGTCTCAAAATATTTTTAAAAAGCCAAAAAGGCTGGGAATGTAAGTCAGTAGCAGAGTGCCCCTGGGTTCAATCCCTAGTACCACTTAAAACAATTTTTTAAGGTGAAAAGCAAATCGAAGATTGGTAACTGACTTGGTAGAGCAGAGGAAAGGAAACTGAGCTCAAAGTGTCTATCTGGCAGGGGATGAAAGGGAAAGTATCATTGAGAGACCAATCCATGTGGCCTGCAAATTTCCTAAGAGACTCCTAAGTGCAACATTCAGGTGCCAATAAAGGCAGGGATAAAGTGTGGCATTGAAAACAAGGACTGTTGGAAACTCGAATTAAAGCAAGAATGGAGGGACCCCCAAGTATCTTCTTCCACAGTGTGTTTCTCCCTTTAGGAAGTAAAGGATAGCTCTATTTGACTAATTCTACAGAGATTGCAGTCATGGAGAGATGGCATAATGGAGACAGAGAAGAACCTGAATTTGAGAGCACTCAGCCCCCTTCCTTCCCCTTTCCTCTTTCCAGAACATCAGTGGCCATGTTTAAACTCTCCTACCTTCTCTGATCCCATCCTCCTTTCTACTAGGGAAAGGAAAATATAGGATTCTTCTCTCAATATGGTAAATATTTACAGAGAAATCTCCAGATTTCAGCTTCTGGGGATTCCCCAATGAAGAAGGAGCTTCAGAAACTGATTGATTGTGCAATGAAACCCACCAATCAACAAGACTCCCCTGCCCAACCAAAGTGTCCAAC